GTGATTAACTAATTCAATGACAAACAAATAAATTATTTATAAACTTCTGTTGTTCATATTCGTGAGGGAAATTTTTTATTAGCTTTGATTGAAGCAAAATTGAATTATTGTCGTCCTGTACAATAACGATTTCTTATATAAAAATGTATGTTCGGTTGTACAGAAATATTTCTCTGAAACATTTTTAAACTTAATTTTGGACCTATTGGTCATAAGGGTTTAAATTACATACAAATTAATCATAATAGCAGGTTTAACCAGCGAAATAATATTTTCGAAGATACAGCTCATATTGCTTTAAATCAAATAGGTATCACATATTTCGAATAGGTGATATCACTTATTCAAAATCTGAATAGGTGATATCACTTACATTGTAATTGAATAGGTGATATCACCATTTGAATAGGTGATATCACTTTTTGGCAGTAATACCAAAACGGCGCCTCATAAGACGTTTAGAAATAAAGTATTGTCTTTTTATGTTAGGGAAGTGGTTCTGGTAATGCACTTGCTATTCGAGTAAGTTCTCTTGAGAAGTTAATCAACACCAAATCAAGTTCCTCCAAAAGAACTCTCCTCCACTATCTGGTGGAAACTGCAGAGGAAAAGGACCCAGAAGCTCTCAGCTTTGTGGATACATTACTGGAACCTCTGCAGAAAGCGGCAAGGTTAAAGTCCTTGATTAATTTAATGTAAATGAAGAAAAATTAAACGAAGTAGTATTGATGAACATTGTCATTTTTTCTTTACTTACCCGATTTGTTTTTTTTTTTTCTTTTCTTTGAAAAGAAATATATTCCAATAAATAATGGTATTTCTGCCAAAATAAAAAAAACTTATGGGGGAAAGCGAGTAATGCTGAATGTACATTTTTAATTACGTATACATTGAAGGTTTACAATGGAGGGAATCACCACTGAATTTAACCAACTAAAAAAACTGGTTCATAGACTCAAACGAGAATGTGAACATGTGGAAGACGATGTGAAAGCACAGTTTGCTGAATTTTTAGAGGTAAGATGTCTTCAGAAACATTTTCATTACAAAATAAACATTATTCACTGTTCTTCAAAACACAGATAGTCCATTTTACTTTACAGGAAGCTGATGCCGATCTAGAGGAGACTGAAGACGTCATAGAGAGGATACGTAAGCAGTTCTGTCGTCTGGCACAGCACTTCTGTGAGAACGAGAAAACCTTCAACTTGGATGAATTCCTGAGCACCTTCAGACAATTTTGCGAGAAAATCAAAGCATGCCAACAGGTAATATCTAATTCCAAGTCAAACTTCTCTGATAATTATTACATTCATGTAATATCATGTTAATATTTATATAGCAGAAAGAGAGTAAACACTTTTAACAAAATAAGGTTATGGATTATTTACAGGAACTGGAATCTCAGCGGCAACAAGAGGAGTCGGCAGAAAGACGGAGACGGGCACAAGAAGGAACGTCCGATAAACGCAAAGGTTTGTACTCGCATCACCAAAATAATTCAATCTCATGTATTATACAAGGTTGTTACAATCCCTACATATTCTAGAAATTTAATCAGGTATTTTTCTTTTCATCTTGTCATCCTTGTGCATCTTTTTTAGTTTCCTTTAATGCCTCTGCTAAAGCAGAAGACAGGAAGATCGTTGACAACATAGTCGATGAGATACGCCGTGGTAAGGTGTTACGGAGACTATCTCTGAGGAAGAAGACGTCTAATAATGTCACAGGAAGGGTGGGTGGACTGTGAACTGTGATATCAAAAAATAAGCGGACTGTGATGGGACACAGGGAGGAGCAATTGGAGAGAGCAAGAGGAAATTACTAATATCAATTTCTAGACCAGGGAGAGAGAAAGAGAAGTGAGAGAGAGAAAGAATAAGAGAGAAAGAGGGACTACATTTGCGTGCTTGTGTTTTTCCGTGTATTTATTTCTGTTTCGATTTCCATTTAATTTGGAAATTTAATGCTGAATAAAAAAAATTTAAAATGTTACATTTTATTGACTGTAAATCAAGTATTTATAAGTACATATAATATGAAAAGGAAATTTTACTCGAACACTTCAAGTATAGCAAAAGTAAAAAGTACTAGTTTTGCTCTTGATAATAAGTATTTTATCACTTAAATAAACATAGTTTCCAGATAAGATAAATAGGATGAAATGCTTGATAAAGACAAGATGTGTTGGTGAATCTCTGAAATCATGGGGGCAACTCAGAGTACAGTCAAACTTCAAGGTCAAGAGATTAAAAATTATGGTACATTGAAAAGGCATTTTCACAATAAATACACCTGTGAAATATAAATGCTAACTGTTCAATGTTATGACCAAAGTTAAAAAAGCACATATAGGCCATCCTCCATTGACCAAGGTCAAACGGTCAAAACAAAATGAGCCTAAAAGAATTTGCCACAGAAGTATTCATAAGAATTATGAAAGCCAGTCAAAAGTAATACCAAAGATATAGTTTTTCAAAAGAAGGTCAAACTCCAAGGAATCCAAGGAAAGCTAAATAAGGAATGGAAGCTAAAGAAGGACAGGTCTCTTCACAAGCTAAGCATTACACATGTTAAATAAAACAACCATAGTTGTTTCAAAGTTATGCCACGCTTAACGGTTTTCAAAAGTAGGTCAAACTAGAAAGTCAAGGTCAAAGGATCAACACATATGTTTATACCCCATATGGAGGACTTGTCATAAAATACGCAATAACATAGAGACCTTTGACACCAATAATATAATTCATTCGAAAGATCGGTAAAATTTTATTTTGCAATAATAGACCCAACTCTGAGGTCAAGGCCAAGAGGTTAAATAAGAAGGACTACACGTGTGGAACATGATACCCTAAGCTCTAAGAAATCAAATGTTATGGGGAAGGTCAAATTTTTAAGGAATCACTGTCTAGTTAGGAGAGTATGCCAGGGCATCAACAATAGTGGGAAACATGGGGTAATTTGCATAACGGGCGAAGCCCGTTATGCTAAAATTATCCCATGTTTCCCACTATTGTTGATGTCCCTGGCATACTCTCCTACTAGACAGTGAATCCTTATATTTCCATTTCATTGTGAAATAAAATTGTAGATTAAGACTTTAAAAATGTAGACTAATAGATTTAAATTACACGAGGACTTCCATGCCAATTTCAATAGTCCTCGCACACTGACGTCAAACACAAAGGCAGCCGCACGAGATTTACATGCATATTTGGTCTCCTTAGCGTCAGACACAGAGACAGATGCGCACGAGATTTGCATGCGTATTAGGCCTCCTTAGCTGCTGACCTATCGACCTGCCTAATTTACATGCCGGCAGAATTATCAAGAATATTCTCCCAAAACTTTCAAAGAGTTATCACAGAGAAAAAAAAATTAGAAATGGAAATATTTTATCATAGAATGTGAAAGCTACCCGTATTTGGAAACTACCTACCAGGTAGTATTTAATTTACAACTACCTACCTTATGTGTTATTTTGATTACTGAGTATCAAGAGCTGAAAGATATTTGGAGACTATTTAAGCTCACACCTGGCAGATCTGTTGAGTTGTTGTTGAATTATGTATCCCAAATATCCTAGAAAATAAAGGAAAAAACTTAGGCATATTTTGATGTTTATTACAGAGTCATATGGCTTGAGATCATTAAAAATAAAGGGCTTGAGTCAAAATCTTTATCTTTTACCGAAATGTTGTAGAAGTCAAATGATCCAAAATGAATAGTAATATATTATCTATCTAAGGTTACACCAACGGTTTAATGCTATTTGCAAGTTTTATTGACAATTAAAACAGCTTACATGTGATTGATAGTTTAACTTAAGTCTAAGTCTACTCCATGATATGGGGCCTAGTCCCAGAATCATGAAACAGAATTGAACTTGAGTCAAAATTTTAAACATCTGTATAGTGTTTAAATCTAATTTTAAAAATAAAACTCTGAATTTGAGCATATCAGCAGACTACTGATACAAAACAACCTCAGTGGATCCAAGATTTTGGCTTACTTATAGTTTTGGACACTTTCCGCCTTACTCTGAGTGTATTTTAGAAAATGTATTCGACCGAGTGACTAAGGTAAGAGTTTTGCTTTAAAAAATCTTGTAACTATAGATTTTTGCATAACTCAACCTTATGTCAAAAATGTAAACAGACAACGATATATTTCTCTTAAACAAAACTAGTTGCTTAAAATGCAATCCATGACAGTGTAAAAGTTTGTACAAAGCCGTAATCTATCGAACAATTTTATATACTAGTATTAACATATCCCTGATCTTTGACTGTCATGCAATTTTCTATTCAACAAGAGGTACTGCTACAGTGTAAGTGTTTTTAAATTTATGACAAAAACATGCATGTTTCAGTCTATTTTCAAACCAAGCCAATATTGTGCGTTCGTAATGAGTGAATTATTATTGCTAGATAACATAATAAAAAATATCTGAGCAGAATTAATTTTAGATGATTGACTTTTACATATAATATCAAAAAGACATTTTATACGAACATTTCAAGTATAGAAAAAGTAAAAAGTATTATTTTGTACATGTGTTCTTGATATTAATTTAAGTAATGCAATCCGTATTTTACAAAAAAATAACTTTGCTTATAACAGTCCTATACTGTAAAATCGTTTTAAAATTAAAACATGAAAATAGAAGAATATTTGGGTGTTTATCAATCCGAATATTAATTAATTAATTTATTAGGATTTCATAGATAAGTAATGAAATAAACATTTATGTTGCTTTTTTTGCCCATGCAATTCAGAGCACAGTGAAAATCTTATTGGCTTTCCATATAGTTTAAGTGTTTATTATGAAACCTTCGGAAAATAAATTACGTACACTTATTTTTAGATACTATCTTGTTTAAAAGGAAAGTGTCCGGAGATTTTCAAGTTCTCTTTTATATAATTTATTGTACTGTCAGTGTTCTGGACCAGAAATAGAAAAAAACCCAAAAGTTTTTATTTCAATAATACGTATGCGCTTTGGGGAGTCATTTCAATATAATATGTGAAACAAAAAATAGTCAACATTTTCTGACAATGGAGACAATGAATGCAGATATTGGTGACTCAAAGGCGATCTTCAATGCATTACACTCACGGGTAAGTTAAAAAAAAAACCAAAACAGAGATTTATTCAGTTCGTGTAGAAACTTCTAATTTTGAAAGAAAAAACCTCAGATATTTATCAAACAAAATATTTTGGGTATTTTTATCTGTACATAAAGCAACTTTCCAAGAATATAAATTTTTTCTCAATGAATTTTTCTTTTCCATTTTGCAGGTAGAAAATTCACCAGTTTATTCTACTTTTTATCGTGTTTTGTACAACCTATATCTGATAGAGAATAGTCAGTCTGACAGGTAAGTGATATCACACCTCCATACTTGCCTGTTCATATTACCTTTTCATACATTTTAACAACATATTTTGTTTGGTTTTAAAGTGGCCAAATTTGGTACTCCATCGAAAAAATTGTAAAGGAAGTTACAAAAGCAGAATGCAATGAAGATCCACAATCTCTTGTTGGAGAAACCCACCCACTTCCTATCCATACTCTGGAGAGCAAGGAAACTCAGACAAGTTGGGATACCAACACCTTTCCAAATCTTTGTAGTGAAGGCGATGAAAATACACTGAAGGATGCGTTGAATGAAAACTCGGAATCTGGTGGCGTAATGACAGAACTAGCTCCAGCACCCCCTCTGCCACCTCCGCCACCTCCACCTTCTGCGCCACCTCGTGTCCCTGAAACGCCTCTTGCACCCCCAATACCTATACCAGAACCAAAGTGCAGAGTTAAACACATAATGTGGAATAAAATATCAAACGTTCCTTCCGAAAGTAAGTACTTGGTTTTCATTCCAATGCGTTTTACCTTTTATTAGTATAAGTGTTTTCTGTATGAGCATGATAACCTAGTCATGCTTAAATCAATATTAGGCGATCAGAAAGGTTTTGGCGGCGACTTTAAAGTTTTGTAAGTCGCTCGATTGCTACGTTACTAATGAACCTCGACCCACTAATTTCCACAAAAATATTAGATCAAAAAGATCAGAATGAGTACGAAAGCCCAGAAGGCTCATTCGAGATTCGAGTTTCCAAATACGAGATTCGAAATTCGAGATTCAAAATTCGAAATTCGAGATTCAAAATTCGAGTTTCGAGATTCAAGATCCAAACGAACCAATCAAAAGTGGGTTCAACATTTGATTATTTCCCTTTATTATGTTTTTACTATCAAGAAATAGTTCAATATAATTATATCAAATGGGTCATTTGATTAAATTACAATGCAAGAAAAAGTGTTATATACATTAGAGGGAAATTTAAATAATTAATGGAATTTTGATCAGCAAAAAATATTTTTATTTATATTATAGATTCTTAAATATTAAATAGATTTCATATATCAGGAGTATATATATTTTTGAATTGTCTACTAAACTTAATTTTTATGCATTTCCTGTGTTAGGAAAACCTCAGGTACTTGTGAAAGGTACCACCCCCCTCCCCCTCCATATTCAACCCTAGGGCTTATTGGACATTTTTTTCACAAGTTTTATGTATTAAAGTGATGCATCATGTATACAATAACAAAAAATTGTAAAATCCCCAGAATAATCGCTCACCACCCCCCCCCCCCCCAAATACCCACTATACATTATAAGAGAAGGCATATACTCCAGTCTGTTTACGTTGTACCCCCACTGGTGTTAAATGCATTTATTTTGTTTTAACTTTATATGTCGATTCACACTGTCTCTACATATACAATGTATTTCCAGGGGCGGATCCAGGAATTGAAGTTAGGAGGGCGCCAGATTCAGGCAGGGGGTCTGGGGGTGCCTTGAGGCCCCCAGTAGGTCCAGGGCAAAGCCCTGGTGGGGGCCCAGGGGGCGAAGGCCCCGGAAGCTCTTGGATTCTAGAGGTTTTGTAGGGTAAAAATGAGGTCTACCGAGTAGACATTTAAAACATTTTCTCGACAAACTATGTTTTATGCTAACTTGGACAATTTTAAGGGGGCGCGCGCCGGGTGCGCCCCCCCTTAAATCTGCCACTGATTTCTGTCTTAGTCCATGCTATCGGACTGACTCTGCATCACGTAATAATCCCACATTTTTTCCGTAAACAGCTTTCTTTCTTGTAAAGTGGGGTAATAAATAGTGTTTTTTTGTTTTGTTTTTTTTGGTTGAGCGATTATTCTGGGGGTTTTACGCCAGCGATTTTTTTCGTATTGTAAGGCTACACATAACAGAGAAATAAGCCCCGGGTTCAATATCAAGGGGGGGGGGTCTTGTCCACACGTACCTGTGTTTTTCTAAAAATTAAGACAAGAAACATGTATTGACGTAAGCGTCAAAAATCGGCCGCAAACCAATTAATGTTCCTTTTATGAAGCAACTAATTATAAAGACTATGGTGGTCTGTTTTTAAAATATCTTATATTTATCTTTTAATATATATCCTCGTGATATTAAAAGCTTGTGCTCTACATTGCATGATTTTCTTAATTATATAATGCATGTTCAGTATTAACCCCTGGAACTCTGCGTCAACAACTTTTGAACCGTGGGCCTGTATGGCATTTACATTAAAAGTTTAAAACTAAAATTAAATGTAATCTACAACTAGATATGCAGTGTAGTTTAATTTAATAAAAATGCAGCAAATATGTTGGTATCCTTGCTCTGTCTTAGAGGAAAAAAACTAAACTCCCTCTAGATCCGCCACTTCATTTCTTCTCTTTGAGTTGTAGCGGGAAAATTCTTGGCACATTGTAAAACGTGCATTATCCTCGTCTGCTAAGGGCCAAATCTTGTAATATTTTGTAGCCTGTTAAGTCTTTTAATGAATTTACATTTAACCATATTTTTCAAAATGTTTATATGTGTACATATGTACACGTCATTTTAAAATAAATACAACAAATCCCGTTTGAATAGAGAAAGTAAAATTGTGTAATATACATAACGCGGTCTTTGATTTAGACTACGCCCCACACATGTCTTAATTTTCTCCGCACTTCAAACATATCTAAATTTCTAAGTCAGTATTGGATGAATTATTTACCTCATTCTTCATAAGAATTTTTAATTTTATGTTTATTGTGCGTTTTTCTTTAACCCTAAGACCGTCTTTTTAATATACTATTATATTAATGTTAAATATTTTTAACCGACCATCTCCTGGCGGCCGTTAATTTGTCATCAATACAAAAATATAATTATATACTCCTGATATATGTAATCTATTTAATATTTAAGAATCTATAATATAAATTGAAATATTCATTGCGGATCAAAAATCCATTAATTATTTAAATTTCCCTCTAATATATATAACACTTTTTCTTGCATTGTAATTTAATGAAATGACCCATTTGATATAATTATATTGAATTATTTCTTGACAGTAAAAACATAATAAAGGGAAATAATCAAATGTTGAACCCGCTTTTGATTGGTTCGTTTGGATCTTGAATCTCGAAACTCGAATTTTGAATCTCGAATTTCGAATCTCGTATTTGGAAACTCGAATCTCGAATGAGCCTTCTGGGCTTTCGTAGAATGAGTCAGAATGATGCGCTGACGGCTTTCAGACATACCCTCTGAAAATGCCATTATAGTCATAAACCAATGATCGAGGCATTTAAGGTTTGTCATTTTACCCAAATACTTTGTCAATGGTCATTGGGCAGAAAAAAACATCGATCCGCATGATCTAATAGTGTACAATGTTGCCGAAGTTCGTTGCAGTCCTGAAAGGGGAAATGGTTAGATAATAATGGATAGGAAGAGAAAAAAAATAATTTCAAGCAAACATCTAGCTCATTTTTTAATTTACATGAAGTGTATTTTTACCTATTTAGTGACTTGCTATTGATTTTTCAGTCTTTTTTTATCGTTTAGAAAAGAACATTTGGAGGGATATCCTTGAAATGCCAGACAAAATTGAAGTTGAATATGCTGATTTGGAGAATTTTTTTGCCAACAACGAAAACGAGAATGCATCTCCCAGGACAGAATGCAAGAGTAAAGTAAGTATTTTCTCTTCTTAAAATAGCAGAGCAAATTAAACACGGACCTCCAAAATATCAGAGATGAGACCAGGTGCCATGGAGGAGTAAGCATCCCCTGATGAAAGTTCACACCCGCCGTTTGCTCCTTGTCATAATTGGGAAATAACGCAAAAATTCGTCGACAATTCAGTTTGTAAATAAGGGCCTAACAAATAGTTTGAAAAACGTCAGTCAGCATTTGATTTGCTTACAAGGTCACTGTATAGACCATATGCATAGAACGCACGATTTTAAACAAGATTGCTGATATTCTTGTTTCATCAACTTGTTCGTCAATACTTAACTCCTTTTAAAAATTGTACATAGATGTACATAGATGTACGAAGAGCATGTTCTTGTGTATCAAATCATTTGAAAGATATAAAACGAGTATCCAGGTGACGAAGGTATATTGCTGCATAAGTATGGGAAGTTGACGATTGAGAAGTTCAAGACATCCCTTTTATTATACAGATTGGTTGTTAGATTGGCGTTAACATCTTTTTCAAGTAAAATATCCAAATATGAAACAAACTCTGTGGTATATCTTATCTCAAGCTCACCGGGATAAATCGTTTCCACGTGATAGAATGGAAAAAAAACCATTGTTAATTGACAATACGTCGTCGATATATCTAAATGTCGAGTTGAAGGCCACAGGAAAAGTGTTTTTTTTTTCACGTATAAGATTTTGGACAAAGTCTGCTTGCTTCATATGAGAATAGAAATAAATCTGCTAATAACGGGACCAATTGTTCCAGTCGATTGGTGGAAGATATTGTCAACAATTTAGAAGCAATCCTTGTAGTCGATATATATTTGTAGGAAATACAAGTTGTAGTCTTTAATTTCATATATGGTGGAATACAAGACTGGACCTTTATGTGATTAAGAGTATTACTTATCAGTAATTTATTGTACCAACAAAATAAGATTCACTTTCTGTTTTACTTTGAAGGTACCACCTTTGAATCAGAATAGAAAACTAAATGTAGAGATCTTTTTGAAAAACTGCGGAAGACCGATAAAAGATATTATTCAACTTCTGCAGTATGGAGACTACGAAAAGTTTGAAGTTGAAAAGTTAAAAAGACTGAAAGAAGTTCTTCCACAACGTGACGAGGCTTGTTGACATTCTCTTGAAGTCTTCAAAATTTAAACATGCTTTTGAATTTTTCGCTAATCATCTCAAATTAAAAACAAAACTAAAAAAGAATCACGATTAAACATATATCTTTAAACGCTTTATTTTTATTTTACAGATTGAATTTTTTCAGAATTTTGAAGGAAATGCTGAAAACCTTGAAGACGCCGAAAAGTTTCTCTTTTACATGACACATCTTCCAAACCATGAATTTCGAACTGAGGTTCTTATTCTGAAGGCTGATTTTAACGCACAACTCAAAACAATAAGTTCACAGTCTGAATTTTTTCTAAAGACTTGTGATCTAATATGTGAGGATCAGTCACTGAAGATTTTTCTCCGATACGTTTTACACACAGGAAATTTCTTGAACAAAGTACGTATATTCTCATCTTTGTACTATATATTTATTCTATAAGAATCGGATCCATTAAAAATACAATAATAAACAAACAATTATGTATGTACGCTTTGCATGTATAAAACTACAACTGATAATGTCCTTGGTTGCACAAAACATTACTGAATACACTCAGATTATTCCTAAATATAGGGAAGTAAATTTGGTAATGCACGGGGAATTCGTATACCTTCTCTCAAGATCCTAATGGACACCAAGTCAAGTAGTACCTGCAAAATGTCTTTCCTCCATTACTTGGTGGAGACATCGGAACAAGGGGATCCAGGTGCCTTGAAGTTTGTAGAAACCTTGCAGGAGCCTCTAGAGAACGCGTCAAGGTGACGAATTTGATTTTTATTACCACGAGGCATTTTTGTTCTTCTAGTTCATTCAATATATTGGTCACATCAATTTTGTAAAAAAAAAAAAAAAAAAAAAAAAAAAAAAAAAAAAAACTATGATACTAGTATCAGACAGTGGATATTTTACACTGTTTCTTTAAGACATTTTAAGAAATATATTTAGAATAACGATTTAGAGCTTTTGACTTTTTGAAAGATTTCCGATGAATGGTATAACTGATGAATTTAATCAGCTTAGGAAGATGGTTAAGAGACTTAAACAAAAATGTGAACAAACGGAAGATGAAGTGAAAACACAGTTTACCGATTTTTTAAAGGTAAGGTTCAGAATAAGTTTGACTCAAACCAACTATAAGGTAAACAAAATGCAATATTTTAGTCTTGGAGGTCATTTTCATGTTTTTCATTTTGTTCATTACTTAAAAATGTGTAAAATTGCTAGTATATTTATTTAGAAGATCTGTAATGTTCAACAATAAAAAAAATAAAAATTAGACTTTGTGCATATGTTCTCCCTTTCTACCCTATATTTGAGTATAAAGACCAATTGAAATAACGAAAGTGACATCAAATTACACCACCATTGATAGAAAGCTGATACTCAAATGAATGAGGCAGATGACATTAAAGAGAGAATGCATAAACAGTCTACACGTCTAGCCCAATATTTTTGCGAAGATGAAAAGAACTTCAACCCAGATGATTTTCTGGTTGCTTTCAAGGAATTCTGCAAGAATATCAGAACCTGCCAACGGGTATAAAAGATATTTTGTGAAATTACGAATTTTCATGGAGGTTCAATTTTCGTTGCTTTCGAGGTATGAAGAGACCCATTAATTTATTACCATCACGAAATTCAAAATCTTAAATGCATTGCAGCAAACTATTCTCCTACCATGAAATCAAGTCCCCCAAAACAAATCTTTTTTCCTCAAACCTCGAAAATTTGACCACACGATAATATATTATTTTACAGTTGTTTTATAACTATGATTTAAGTCTATTTAGATTTTTTGTTCATTTTTTGGCGGGTTTCTGGTTTTCATCATTCACTGTAGGGCTGAATGATTTTCTTTAAAAAGTAACTGAACAAAATTAATTTCAGGATATCCAACAGAGGAGAGCTGTAGAAGATATGACCAAAAGACGTAGAGGTTATCGCTTTTGCCTTTCTATGCTTTGAATGTTGATGGTGCTTATATACCTAGGTGTAAATTCCAGTATTAACCACCTAAACAATTTTTATATTGAATGTCTCATTGATATGTCGACGAAAGATAGAGACTGTTGTAAGGAGGACATTCTGAATGTCTTTTAAACTCACTTACCTATTTTTTCTACATTTGAAGTTCGGAAAAAATTCACTGACCTGTTTTTGTTTAATTGATACTCAAGAGAAATTTCTTGATTTTTGTTAACTGCATTCGCAACCATTTTTTTGTTTCATTTAACTCATATTTGATGCAAGCTGGACTTGACTAACGTCTAGTTTATTCAGCTGTCTTTCAAAACTTCAGCTGACGTTTTGAAAAATCCTCGGTGAACAGTACGCACAAAAATACATGCACATAACAAGTTGATTGATAATACTATCATGTTGAAAATACTAATATTTGAATCGATAGGTTGAGTGATTTGTAATGTCGCCCTCAGCAAAAGCAACACACTTTTCGAGTGGTAAACAACGATTGTTTCCCTTACGTGTTAATTATGCACGCATGGTTCGCGGGAATTACTTTTGTGAACTTGAAAGGAGTCAAACAGACTTGAAGTCAGAAAAAGCTTGCGTCCGATGTAGCTTGATTGAAAACAGAAAGCAGGCGAAAAATGCTTGAGAGCTCAGATCTATATGACAAAATTTTCGATGATAAAGAACATCCGAGAATCAAACAAGTAATAATAAAGAGATCAGTAAATCTTTTTCGATGTTTCCTTATTCAGAAAAACAGAAGCGAGGGGTTTCAAAGCTTTCAAAACTGTAAGCCTTTCTACGATATCTTTGTTTGCCAACATCCTAAAGCAATAGGGCATTCAGTATGATAAGAAATGTGCCTTTTCTGAGGCATCCTCAAAATCAAGAGTTTGTGATTTTGGAACTCCTCACGATTTGTGTGGAGATCCGATAACAAATACCCTTGACATTGTGAGGATGTTTCTGAGGGTAACAATTGAAATTGACACCCCAAGAAAACCTTGACAACCGACTTTTATAGTGTTGCTCGAGCTAAGCTTGTTGATAATCCTTAAGGAAATTTCAAATGTTCAATGCATCTGAGACATTATGGTTTTATAATTAATCATGAAAGAATAATAATGCATATAATTGATATTTATTAAATTTTGCTAATTTTATATAGGTTCTTGGAATCCCTGTACCAAATCCCAGGACAAGGATGTGAGGGAAAGAGCATCTACCTTGCATTAACAGACAGATACAATGACAAAATGTGAAAAAAGGAAAGTTACATATAATTTATTAACAAACAAACTTAGACGTACAAATGTGAAGCCAAATATTTTTTTCCATTTGAGCCTTTAAGGTACTTCGACATTCTACATTAAGATTGCTTGAGCTGGGATAAAGAACAATCCGTGTACAATTTTGTGTGTAAAAAATTGATTAATAATTTGTGTTAAAAAGCCAGAGAGCATTATACTAAAGAATAGATGATACATTCTTTTGTCAAAACTGGAGGATAATAACTTGAATCATGTTTATATAAGTAAATCAAACAACAATATAGTTTTAATTTTTTTAGTTCACAAGAATCCTTACAAACAAAGATACATTGCGGGTTCTAGTAAATGTTCAACCAAGCCTCTTTCGTTACTCCTCACTAAGATATTGACAAACTTACTGTTACCATTACAGAAGGTACTTCGACATTCTACATTAAGATTGCTTGAGCTGGGATAAAGAACAATCCGTGTACAATTTTGTGTGTAAAAAAAAATTAATAATAATTTGTGTTAAAACGCCAGAGAGCATTGTACTAAAGAATAGATGATACTTTTTTGTCAAAATAACTGGAGGGTAACAACTTGAATTATGTTTATATGAGTAAATCAAACAACCATATAGTTTAAATTTTTTTTACTTCATAAGAATCCTTACAAACAAAGATACATAGCGGGTTCTAGTAAATGTCCAACTAAGCATCTCTCTTTACTCCTCACTAAGATATTGACAGTAGTAAAGGGAAAACTTCAAAAGGACGGGCGTACTGTCACCGTATACAACGGATACATTGTAACGCGGGGGAGTCGCTCAAAAGTATGGGGGAGTCGTTTGAACGTATGGGGGAGTAGATTTTCACCGCTTCGGAGTCAGAACCGATGTAGGTCAGGTCTTTTTTCGGTATTTGTAAGATGTATTTTCAAAAAACAAGTATCCCACGGAACATAGCAATAGCTGAGCTTTATATTGGTCCTCAGTCCAAGTGTCATATGCGTCTAGTATTCTCAAACACTTCGAAACTATTCGACAGATTTCACATTTACGATGATCGCGTGGTCAAAACATGCATGGTTTGCACAATTTACGACTTGCATGGGGCTTGTTACAGTTAAAACAACAAAAGCGAAGGTTTATCTTTTAGATCCAATAATTAAAACTTGACTAGACTTTGCAAAAATTAATAATTAAGACATTTTCTCTTCAGTCAGTAATTGTAACGTAGGGGGGAGTCGTTTCTTGAAAAACACAACGCATAGGGGAGTCGCAAAATCAAATCAAATGTATACTTGGGTTTGTTGTTTATGCTTTTGTTTGTTCTACCAATACATTTTTATTTGCTTGTAGATATCTATAAATCGATATTTAGTTGTTTATTTAATAATTTGGGAGTTGCAATTAGTTGCAAATTTGGAGTTGCAAAATCGTACATCATTTTAAATTTTGAATTTTCTATCGCTGTTTGCTTTCTTGATATGCTTCACTTGATGATTTTTTCACTGTTATAATGTTACGTATAAAAATTAATGTAAGCAATATTTAGAAATAAAACCATGCATTAATCGTCCCCTACTGTAAAGTGCATGAGTGTGCTTCATAAATGTATAATTTCTACATTTGATACATGTGCATTTCAATTGGTTTCTACGCGGTCGAGCAATGGAATATAGAGTTTTTCAGTATATGATAACCTCCCTAACCTTTTTGGAGCCACATACATGTGCATTTCCTCAGTAAAATTATGATACCCCTCCCCCATCCCCTTCGCTGTTTCTGAAACACAGAGTAGCAGTTTTGTTGGACTATGCTCAGTTATTTTGTCATGTTTTAATTCTGTATTCACTATAACTTACCCGGTAAATTCAAAGTTTTTAACATGAAACATATGGAGATAACGAACAGTATTCAAGATCAAATACAAAATATGAACAGAGAAAACAATAATTCCATCGCAAATATGAACAAGAAAAGTTTATTAACGTTATTGTTGCTGTCATCGAAATAGATTTTTACAATTTGCAACAAAAATGATCACATAAAAGTTGCAGCTCATATTGCTTTAAACAAAAAATACTTAGAGCACAGGGCTTACTAAAGGGTACACCCCCTATGGAATGCCATATACGACAACCAACTGCTTACTGCCAACTGCTCACTGTTTACTGCCAACTGTGCACTGCCAACTGCCACACATATTTGAATAAAATTTACTTTTATATTGATATTTATGTAAATTTTCAAAAAAAAAAAAAAAAAAAGGCGCGGATCTACGACATTTTTTCCAAGAGGGTCACTCTGGTAAAAAAAATCAAACCCAGAAATTTCTTTACAAGAAAAAAGTCCTTCCCTAAATGTGAAAATTTATTTCGGCCGGGGAGAGGGTTTCTTATGCGTCATAACTTCATGTCTATGACATTTTTTATACCAACTTAACATGAATCCGCATATTCGGGGGGGGGGGGGGGATGGGTCTAATGTCCCTTTTAGTTAAATTTTTTAATGCATTAAATAACTTTTAGTTGGTTTAGTTTGTGCATTAAATTACTTTACAAATTTCAGAGGGGTGGTCCGGACCCCTCTCTCTAGATCTATGCATGTAAAACATATCTTATTTATAAAAACAAAGAGATATAAATGTTTGATCGGCATTGTCTTGCAGGATCCAAGGTCAGTTTTAGTTTATTTAGCTCATACATTAACCCATGACTGTACAAATTTTAAATGCCCCCCCCCAAAAAAAAATCTATGCATGTGAAACATTATAACACATAGAGATATATACCTTTCATTTGAGGAAATTTTTAACTATAGAATATAATGGAAAAATGTTAATTTATTTTCAAAACATCTTTCTCTGCGAAACGACAAATCTTTATATTTTTACTTCTTTAAAGACTAGAAGCAGAACATAGTCATTTTATAAACTATTTCAAATAAGCAAAAAAAATAAACAATGTACTTTATCAATCGCATAAATTTTATAAATATAACATAAGATTAAAAAAAAAAAATATTGGTCATTTAATCAATTTAATTTTACCAGGGTGACCCTCTTGGAAAAAATGTCCTGGATCCGCGTCTGTTTTTCCTTCTTCTTTTTTGTGAAAATTCACATAAATATCAATATAAAAATAAAATTTATTCAAGTTTGTGTGACAGTTGACAGTAAGCAGCTGACAGTTGGCAGTAAGCAGTTGGCAGTAAGCAGTTGGCTGTCGTATATGGCATTCCATAACCCCCAGATGACATTATATAGGAAAAAATCTCTGAAAGTATCATTAAATTTTATTCAGTGCAAGGAGGAGTTGCGGATAAGAGATACATGTAGGTACCTCTCAGTGCTATGAAATAATAACAGTGTCCATGTTTTGCTATGGGATATTCAGAACATGTGTTCCATGAAAAAGTAAAATAGGGGGTGCACAAAGGCACTATGTAACAAAGAATCTATGGACGTATCATTTAATTTCTTTCGGTGGTATAAGCAGAGTTGCGGATAAGAGATTGGTGCATTTATGAAGTATACTCATGCATTTTACAGCGCGGGCGTAGGGGACGATTCATGGATTTATTTCTCCATATTGCTTACATTGAACTTTATACGTAACATTATAACAATTCCAAAAAACACTTCAGATTAAGTATTTTAAGAAAGCAAACAACGAAAGAAAAGTCGAAATTTAAAATGATATATGATTTTTCGACTCCCTAAATTATTTAAGAAAGTTCAAGAAGGATATGCAGATAACGAACAGTATTCAATATCAAAGTCCATTAAACAATACAAAATAGGTGCAGAGCAAACACGAACCTCCAAAACATCAGAGGTGGGATCAGGAGCCATGAAGGAGTGAGCATCCCCTGCTGACCGGTCTCACCCGCCGTGTGCTCCTTGTTATGATCTGGTAATAACGGAAAAATCCGCTGTCAATTCGGTGTATAAATACTGGACTAACAATTATAGTATGAAAAACTTCAATCAGCATTTGACTCAATGATAAATTGTATTTGCTGACAAGGTCATTGTATCGACCGTAAACCTTACGAAATGATGACTTTAAACGAGTCTGCTGATATTCTTGTTTCATCAACTTGCTCGTCAATAATTTTCTTCGTTTTAGAAATTGTTCGTACGTAGAGCATGCTCTTGCGTATCGAATCAACTGAGATATATATACTTCGTATGCAGCTAAATATCGATTTATAGATATATATATATAAGCAAATAAAAATGTATTGGTAGAATAAACAAGAGGCCCATAGGCCATAACCTGAGAATCTTTTGTCATGTTGTTCTTTACCAGATTTCCCCCTTGTAATACATATTGTGGCCCCGCCCTACCCCCTGGGGTCATGATTTGAACAATTTAGAATCTACACTATCCCAGGGTGCTTCCACATCAGTTTCAGCTTTTCTGGCCCAGTGGTTCTTGAGAAGAAGATTTTTAAAGATTTTACCTATATATTTCTATGTAAAACTTTGATTCCCCATTGTGGCCCCGCCCAACCCCCGGGGGTCATGATTAGAACAATTTAGAATCTACACTATCCCAGGATGCCTCCACATAGGTTTCAGCCTTATTGGCCCAGTGGTTCTTGAGAAGAAGATTTTTTAATGACCCCACCTTATTTTTGTCTTTTCTTGATTATCTCCCCTTGTGAGGAGACTTGGCCCTTCATTTTAACAATTGAAATTTCCTTTCACCCAAGGATGCTTTGTACCAAGTTTGGTCAAAATTGGCCCAGTGGATCTTGATTAGAAGTCGAAAATGTGAAAAGTTTACGGACGGACAGACAGACAGACAGACAGACGGACGGACGACGGACAAAATGTGATCAGAAAAGCTCACTTGAGCCTTCGGCTCAGGTGAGCTAAAAAGCATAAACAACAAACCCAAGTATACATTTGATTTGATTTTGCGACTCCCCTATGCGTTGTGTTTTTCAAGAAACGACTCCCCCCTACGTTACAATTACTGACTGAAGAGAAAATGTCTTAATTATTAATTTTTGCAAAGTCTAGTCAAGTTTTAATTATTGGATCTAAAAGATAAACCTTCGCTTTTGTTGTTTTAACTGTAACAAGCCCCATGCAAGTCGTAAATTGTGCAAACCATGCATGTTTTGACCACGCGATCATCGTAAATGTGAAATCTGTCGAATAGTTTCGAAGTGTTTGAGAATACTAGACGCATATGACACTTGGACTGAGGACCAATATAAAGCTCAGCTATTGCTATGTTCCGTGGGATACTTGTCTTTTGAAAATACATCTTACAAATACCGAAAAAAGACCTGACCTACATCGGTTCTGACTCCGAAGCGGTGAAAATCTACTCCCCCATACGTTCAAAACGACTCCCCCATACTTTTGAGCGACTCCCCCGCGTTACCCGTTGTATACGGTGACTGTGCTACAATATATTCAAGAAGTGGTGTGAATCAGATGTGAATACTCAAAAATTCCAAGGAACTTTTGGACAATTTGAAATTACAAGATTTTATCAACATTAACAGCTTAACTACTTACGACTTTTCAACTTTATACAAAACCATTCCCCTTGATAAATTAGTCCAGGATTTCTAATATCATTGACAGGTGCCTTTTCAATAAAAATGAAACTCGTAAATTTACGTACTTGGTCATTGATTATTGACAAAATTATTTTGTTAATATACATTCTGATTGTACACACAGGTACTCTGAAGTTGACATCAAAAATATACCTAAGCTTCTGATGAAATCCCCATGGGTACCAATTGCGCTATGTTATTAGCAGCCCTATTTTTTGTATTTATATGAAACAGAATTTGTGCAAAATCTTATGCTTGAAAAGAAGAAAATACTTTCTGTGGCCTTCAACTCAACATTTAGATATAGTCAATTAATAATGGTTATTTCTATTCCTTTGTCGATACGATATATCCTGGGAAGCTTGAAATAAAAGATACCAGAGTGTGACACATCTGTTTCATACTTAGATATTGTACTTGAAAAAGACTTTAATGGTAATCTACATTGTAACAACCAAGCTCTATGATAAACTTGATGACTTTAACATTTCTATCGTCAACTTGCCTTACTTATGCAGCAATATACCTTCTTCACCTGCATACGAAGTTTAGATATCTCAGTTGATTCGATACGCAAGAGCATGCTCTACGTATGAAAAATTTCTAAAACGAGGTAAATTATTGACAAACAAGCTGATGAAACAAGAATATCAGCAGTCTTGTTTAAAGTCATAATTTCGTAAGTTCTAAGATTGATACAATGGCCTTGTCAGCAAATACAATTTAACATTGAGTCAAAAATGCTGACTGACGTTTTTCATACTTATTGTAATTGCTTATTTATACAATGAGTAGCAGATTTTCCCGTAACTTCCCGATCAAGACATGGGGCACAAGGCGGCTGTGACCGATCAGCAGGGGATGCTTTCTCCTCCATGGCACCTAATCCTACCTCTGATATTTTGGAGGTCTGTGTTTCTGCTCTTATTTTATATTGTTTTATGGACTTTGATATCGAATACTGTTTGTTATCTCCATATCCTTCATTTCACCTGCATTGCAATATGTTCAGTCAAATGTAAATTCTCTTTATTTGGAAATTAGTAAGGACAAAAACCGACAACATAGAATTTTTTCACTAAATCACAGTCTTAAAATCGTTTTAACATTTAACTTTTGTACGGCATTGAAAAACTTCTTTAATAAATATACAAATTGAAATTAGGGTAAGATATAAAAATAATAAAAGTCACCCTAAAGTCCAAAGTCCAGTGTTAATTCCAGTCATCCTTTGTATTTTAGTTGCAACAAAAAATTGAAATGTCAACCTTTAATTTGTTTTCGATATAAAGGAGATAAAAATGTTCTCTGAACGATTCGGCAAGATAAAAAAAAATTATCTCAAATTGTTTAAGATTATCGAAGCTATTTTTTTAAACTGGAGTCATTTATGTCAAAGTTTAAGAAGGGGTTTTCATGAACGCCTACATAACACATTCGAGTTTGTTTTTCCAATTACCGAAAGGCCTGTTAAGTTGCGATTGATATGTTACTTGACGAAAGTCGATGAAGAACGCATGACACATGAAAAAATGATATCAAGTAAGAAATTGATCAATTAAAAGATTATAAAAGACATTTTTGAAACGTCCTTCTGAACACAGTAGCATATTTGGTAACAACGCTTTAAAGATCCCAAAATTAAGAGAGTTAGATTTTCAGTTTAAAACCATAGACGGGTAGACCTGGGTTGCAGAGAAATGCCAGAAAATGTACAAATATAAGAATATAGTGCAAGATTCAACCTGGATCGATTTTATTTCAATAAAGAACAAAGTGAAAAATCTCTCCTTTGGCGAGAAACTGTGACTCGAAGCTTGAAACAGATATTACACATTAAGATTTCTCTGTATCTTCCTTTTGTTCTTTCAATTTGCACGAATTGTTTTCCTGTATTTCCGTTCATGTCATTTAGTTTCATAACATTTTTTGCCAAACGTTTTGATTTCAAATAAAAATATGCTTAAAAAATGTAATTTTAAGTCAGTGTGTTTGATCAGCGTTAATAAGAACGATGTTTCTTGATCAGGTACATTGCGTACTTACAAAGCATAGATATTTTTAATTGTTCTGTTAATTTTTATAATTCAAATTTTTAGATATACGAGGGAGGTACATTATTTTTTGTCCCATATGGTTTTCAATATAAATTAGATCGCTCCATTCGGGATTTGGTCATACATGAATTTGGAACAAGTCCGTACATACTGAAACACAGGCTTACATTTGCAATTGACCTACCCAAATGCAATGGACATCGATTTTAGGTAAAACACAAGGTATTGAGTCACTTGAAATAAGACATATTCTTGCTCGTTGTGTCATTGGTATACGAAATGAAATATATGAAGAAATTGTTAGGATATATGGTGGGTCTTTTGTTTCAAAGAAGGCAGATTAATGTTTCAAAATCCGTGATAATTGTAAGAAAGACGCGCGAGGTGGATTCCACATGAACTTACCAAAGCTTAGAAGAGGGATCGCTTACAAAAGTGCTAAAAACTTCTAAAAATGTTTAAAGATGAACGCTTATGGATACTTAGGAAGCTAAGTGGGATTGTCCACTTTTTCTACCCAGAAAGAGAAGTACAAAATTATATCTGTATTGGAAAGAATATGAAGAGGCCAACAATTACAATAAGAATTCATCCAAACTTATAAGGAAGCTCTATATGCGATATTTTTAACTCAAATGGTTTAATTGGTAGCCCACAGAGACGGTGTCACAGGAAATATGTATTCTTCCAGTATGAAAGAAGACCAAATACCGGTTTGAAAAGCATTAAACTTCTGCATAACAATGCTCCTTCTCATAAAGCAGAGTTACTCAAGAATATCTACGGTGACGCAAAGTTGTTGAACTTCTGAATCCTGCATATTCACCTGATCTTTCTCCTTGTGATTTTTTCTTGTTTCCAAAATTAAAAAAAAGCTCTTTCTGGAAGGCGTTTTCAATCGCGGTCGGCACTGATATCAGCTATTTTTCAGTATTTAAGTGGTATATCACAAAAAATAGCAAAAAAAGTGTTTTTGACTGGATTAAACTTCATCTCTGTATTTAATATAAGGGAAGCTACTTTGAAGGAATGCAATGAATAATAAAATCATTTCGTTTTTGTTGCTGTAATATGGGTGGCACAAAAAATATTGAACGTTCCTCGTATTAAAGGGGTATGATAAACCTGATAAAATACGTTATTTAAACAAACTACTTCTAATCGAATATATAAACAATCTTTTTATCTATGAAGGCGGGTGCTATGTATCACATTTTGATCAGCTACACGGATCCTGCAAGAGGGTATGTATGATGTCTATCGATAAAAATCCTCACAAATAGTATATTGCAAAAAAAAAAAAATAAAATAAAATAAAATAAAAATGAATGAATAAAATATTCAAATTTATTTAAAATTATTTTCTTCCGACAGTAAACATGGCATCAGAAATAGGTGTCAGCGCTCAGGTTCAGGTGGATAGATGCGCTGAATGTAAACAACCCTCTGTGTGTACATGCTCTATATGTAACGCTAAAATGTGTAGAAAACATATTAATTCGCACATGGATAAGGTTCATATGCTATCAGAGAACGATTCTCACAATACAAAATGTTCTCTACATGTGAGAAACACGCTAAAATCTTTCTGTAGAAGTTGTTTTGTGCCTCTCTGTGATGAGTGCGTGACAGATGGAGGTCATGTTGCCCATGAAAGAAGTGAACTAGGGGATGTCTTAGAATTCCTCAAGGGAGCAATATCCAATGAAAACAAAGAATTGATCAATTGCATTAAACCATTTTACCAAACTGTTTTAGACACTACTGAAGAAAAATTAAAGGAAGTTCCGCTTAAATACGAAAAAGTAAAGAAAAATATAGAAAAGTTTGGGAAAATATTGCACAGGGAAATTGACAATGCTGTAGATGATTTATATATTTCCTTGGCTGAGAAAGAGAAGAACGACAAGAAAGAGTTAGAAAATCAAAAGAATACATACTTAAAAAAGTTAAATGATTTAAAGGAAATTATTGCGCAAAACAATTCGTTACTAAGCTCCAAAAATTCAAAAGAAATTGCAAATTTTAGTTCTTGTATTGCATACTTTCGTCTCAATCCAAACCAAGTGAAACTGGAATTACCATCCTTTAGCCCGAATACTATAACACAATTAGCCAATGTGTTTGAATTGAAGAGACTTTTGTAAGTTTATAGTTTTATTAAAAAGTCACAGCAAAGGTAACAAACAATGATACTTGAAAAGTTCAGTCATAAAGATCTCGGAGCCAAGATGGTGAAAGCTCACATAGTCATTATGTCACATAGGTCTCGGGGCTAAGATGTTAAAAGCACTCATGGTCAGTCTCGGAGCTAAGATGTTAAAAGCTATTGATACTCAGTGTGCACATCTTTTGTACAAGAAGCTGCATCACATATTCACATATTTGGTAATAGCAATTAGTTAGTTAGAGTGTCACTTCATTAATATTGATATTGTCCGCCCCTCACTGAAGTTCTGTCTCCCATCTCCTTATAGGATACAGCAATGTCCTTTGTTTACATTCACATACTGTAAACGTATTACATTTGGCGATGCTTTCTTTTTAGCGCTTTTGGCGGAAAGATACTTCCGCTAATTCAAGTTCATCGCTAAATGTCTGAAACTTTGATGCATGAATAAGAACATTAAGAAAAGCGCTTAATCAAATCTACGCTAACTTGTTTAAAACTCATTTTCTGCTAAATATTGTACACGCCAAATATAATACATTTACAGTATTGTGCATCTTGCACATTCTTCAGTTAAAAAGTCTCATTGGAAGTGTCAATGCTCAGGAACAACACATCGTAAAAACTAATTGTCCGTCAAATGAAGACGCTCTGTTATTGTATTCTATCTCCCAGAGTTTGTAAACAAGTTCGTAACTAAGATATTATTGTCCGTCACTCTACACACTGATGGTATCAATTATAATTCATAACACAATATTAAAACATAGATAAATGTACTGTACAAATTAATATATCAATTTAACTTATAATTAATACGCTCATTGTGTTACAATACCAACAGTCACCAAATGAAAGAAAAATGTTTAGCACTTTTGGGGGAAATTTTATACACTCCTGAGACAAGTGTTGTTCCTGATTTAAAATCGGACCATGCAAAACAGATGAAAATGCAATTATTGGAGCAACCGGGTGTTTTGAAAATCCTTGAAAACGATTTCCCCCAGATTCCCGTGAACATAAATTATACAGTTTGTCTTGTTTGAACTCGGAAACAATTAATATACTTAGCATTCGGAGAATCTTCTGTAACAATGTCCATCAAGCTCTAGTTTGCTATAACGTCACTATTGATCTCAATAAGTTGTGCATTCAAAACTTTATAGTAATAACGAAATTTAAACACTTTTTTATACAAAACATTTAAGGAAATCTATAATCAGTTTAAGTTCTATCTATGTGAGCGGATCAAAGGATCTAATTTTAATCAGACTGATGGAAAGAAATGTTGTGCCCCATTTTCGTGACGTCACAATATGAAAATAAGGTCATGTTGATAACTTTTGACAAAAACGGGTGACTAAGTTGAATTAGAGCATATTAAGGAACGGCGGTAAAAATAAATGTTCACACGCATGAAAAAGGTAAAATATTAACGCCCAACGTGGGGCTCGAACCCACGACCCCGAGATTAAGAGTCTCGTGCTCTACCGACTGAGCTAGCCGGGCTGATATATTTTTTGCAAATTACGTAACGACAATCTGTCACATGTATGTCTCTGAAATTCTATGCAGCAATATACCTTCATCATCTGCATACGTAGTTTTTATATTTCTGTTGATTCAAAACGCAAGAGCATGCTCTTCTAAAACAATTTCTAAAACGAGGTAAATTATTGACAAACAAGTTGATGAAACAAGAATATCAGCAGTCTCGTTTAAAGTCATCATTTTGTAAGTTCTATGGTCGATGCAATGACCTTCTTGGCAAATACAATTTATCAATTAGTCAAATGCTGACCAGTCTGGCGTTTTTCATACTATTTGTTATTTATACAATGAGTTGATGGCGAATTTTACCGTTATTTCCCGATAATGACAAGGAGCACACGGCGGTGTGACCGGTCGGCAGGGGATGCTCACTCCTCCATGGCACCTGATTCCATCCCTGATGTTTTGGAAGTCCTTATTTGCTTTGCTCATATTGTTGTTGGACTTTTGATCTTGAGCACTGTTTGTTATCTCCATATATTTCATTTAGTGAAGGAAGGGAGATGTTTAAAAATGATGTTTGTTCTATTGCCCGGGAAAAGGCTAAGCAAGTTGTGGAAGAGATGTGTCCTTTGTTAGGCAATTTGATATAATATACAGTTAGAAAAATACTTGAATATCTTTACAATTAGTATTTATAAATTAAATCCCCCAAAATATCATTTCCATTAGACTTTAAAACATATCAGATATGATAAAAAGAAGGTACCCATATTTTTCCACATTGAGTTAACGACGCTCCAAGGACTTGGTTTTCGATTGTGACCATGACCATGATCATTCTGGAAGAGGATAACATTATCTACCCATACTACTGCTGAGCTTTGGTCATTTCTGACAAATGGACTGTTTTTGTTATAAATAAAAAAAATTGCATGGTAAGAAATATAAGAGTTTGAAAAATCATTAAGTTTCTGTGCCAGAACGCAACTGGGTATGTCACGTGACCACCTATATCACGTTATCCGCGCATGTGCAGAACGGTTGCAAATGCGCGTTAAAATTGGAGAGGACTAAAATTTTTTTTAACACTGAAACCTTATATCATTTCTTTTTGAAAGTTATTCAATTAATTGGCAAAGTTTTTGATCAACCGCCGTATAGTGAAAACTTTGAAATTTTGATTACTATAGTGAAAACTTTGGAACTTGGTCTCCGAAAAGTATGTAAATGTTGCCAAAAGAACTCCTACATCCTGAATATTAACTTCGAATACTTTGTGTGTATAATCGAAGCTATGCTTAACAAAGTAATTTTGTTGATGGCCAATCTCCGGTTGAAGTTTTAAATTTATCATGAGAAATGGTAGTAAAAAGGGATAAAAATAATTGACATTTTGATGTTGGCGACTTATTGAAAAAAATTCCAATTTTGAATTTTCTAAAAGTTCTCCAGTCTCACTTTTCCACTATTTAATCCTTTGGAAAAAGTGGGTCTGAGATCAAGAGTGAGGTCGTCTAAGTTTGATGGACCCCAGGCCTTTTTGGGTGGAAATGGTATATTGTTACAAAAATAAGGAATATTAACGATAAAATGGTGTGCATCAAATGCGTTGATAATACAACATTTATAAAAGATTTCAATCTACCCAATCAAACAAAGGGGTCATGGTAGGTATAAACGGTCGACAAGGGGATGCTTACTCCTCCATGACATCTGAACCTGCCGCTGATGTTTCTATGGGTCAATATTTGCTTTGATCTCAATTTTTTTAATGTTTAATATGATATTTGAGCATGATAAATATTCGTTATCTTCATAGTTCCTTTGCAAAGCAAAATTGAATTTGAAGTTTGTATTATGGAGTTTCAGTTAGATAAAAACCTAGATGCATGTAAGCAAATAGAATTTTTTTTTATGAACAAAGATTTGTTTTCCTAATTGTGCCTAATATATGTAGACACACCTAAAGGTCTTTACTTCGATGTTTAAATCAAGGTTAACAAGTCTTGTATTAAAGATGTCATACAGAACCTATGAAGATTAACTTACACTCAGAATATATTTTTTTCTTTTTAAAGCGTAACTCTTTGAGTATATTAAAAACAAGACTAAACATTTTGATAAATCACGAGCAGTTACATGCTCGTTATAATTGATAGCTTATCTGTTTAATACACATCATATCAGTATCATATTTTATGGACTTTATCATTCTGACCCACGAAGCGTTAAGAAGTAAGTGTATCTGTTTTTACTATTAATCTGTAAATGAAGGACATAAATGACAAATTATATAGAAAATTCAAGAAATAAAAAATTTTTTCTCTTTTTTCTTTAGGTCACTATATCTGTTAACATGTCTGAAGTAGGTGTAGGAGCTCAAGCTCCATTAATAACGTGTTCCGACTGTTGTGAACCTTTTGTGTGTACATGCTCTCTATGTGACACTAAACTGTGTAGAAAACACATGAATACTCACATGGATACAGTTCACATGCTATCTGACGGTGCCACCGATAACACAAAATGCCCTATTCATTCACAAAACTCTCTTAAATGCTTCTGTAGAACTTGTAGCCTCCCTTTATGCTATGAGTGTGTTACGGATGGCGGCCATGTTTCCCATGAAAAAAGTGATCTAGAGGCTATTTTGGAATTCTTTAAGGAAGTAATTGCCAATGAAAATCAAGAATTAATGAATCACATAAAGCCATTTTATCAAAAGGTACTGGATAATACAGAGGAAAATCTGAAGAAAATGGCGATGAGCTGTAAAGACGTGAAAAAGGCCATCAGACAGATGGGAGAATTTTTGAATAAAGAAATTGAGAAGGCAGTTGAAAATTTATGTCAGACTATAGATAAAAAAGAAAAGGAAGAAACAGAACAGCTTCTGAGTCAAAAAGAGACGTATTCGAAAAGAATTCACCAAATAGATGATACTGTTGCAAACAATGAGCAGTTGATGACTTCCAAAAATCCTGTGGATATAGCATCTTTTACCTCGAGCACTGCTTACTTTCATGTGAACCCTAGCCTAGTGAAAGTACAGTTTCCTCAATTCACACCAAATGAAAACTGCAAAATGATTCAAGAAACAATTTTGGTACTTTTAGGAAATTTTACTTTCCATGCCCCAGACTGTGAGGTGCCTGATTTAGTATTTGACAATGCTAAATGTGTGGAAATGCAACTCCTAGAGAAACCAAAGGTTCTGAAAAGTCTCAAAAATGAATTTCCTGTCGATAAAAATAATCACAAATTATACAATTTGTCTTGCATAACCTCGGATGAAGCTCTCATTGGTGGAAACAGCAAATCACTTTTCTTAAGGAAATGTTCTTCCGAAGTTTCTAAACAGTTCCAGACTGTCGAAATTACTTGTGAAGGTCTCCATTTTGTGGTATCATCCAAAGGGATTCTTTTTTACTCAGACAAAACGGATAGGTCTATTAAAAGGATTGCCTCAAAACAAATTTCTACTTTCCTGAAATTTGAAAAACTGGAACCGAAAGGATTAAGCCTGACCTCCTCTGGTCATTTGCTTGTCTGTCTTTACCGACGAAATGGGTCCAAGGTCGCGAGATACAATAAAACTGGACAGATTGTACAAGAAATCCAATACAATAGCAACCAAACGCTACTCTATGAACATCCCAAGTTTATATGTTGCAACAGGAATGGAGATATTTGCACAGTAGACTATGCAAAACGAACCGTTATTGTCGTTGATCAATTTGGTATCATGAAATTTTCCTATACTGGTCGCAGTGTTCTCGAAAAAGGCCAAACATTTAGCCCTTGTGGTATAGCTACAGATCATCTATGCAACATTTTAATAACCGATCTTGAAAACAACAAGATTCATCTTCTTGACAAATATGGGAAGTTTATTCGTTTTTTGGAACCAGATACTGGGATAAGGAGTCCAAGAGCCATCACTTACTCGATTACATGTAGGTGATAGCATCAATTTAAGCTGAATAATATTTTTTTCAAATAAGTGATATAACCTACAATAATTTCCAATAGGTGATATATCACCTATTCGACTATAAAGGCGATATCACTTATTTGCATTTATTACATTATTATGAAATAATTTAATTCTGGTTGCTACGCTGTATTTGATTGGATAAAAAAAATTACTATATATCTTAAAAAATAGGTTGCCTACGTCACAATGACTTGCGTCAGAAACATATTAATCCGCCTGACGTTACTTTCAAACTTTGTACATATTGAAGTAATTTTTAATGACAATCGGTTTTTTCTTACACCAAATGAATGAAAAATAAATCATAAGGAATGAATTTAATAGCTATCAATTTTATACGGTGTAAACTGGGTTGGAACAGTTTACGCCTTTTATAAACGGCTTCGCGGCTTATAAAGTGTCAGATGCCCCAACCCAGTTTATACCATATAAAATGGGTAGCTATTAAGGTATGTCACTCGTGAAATTTGTTGAATCAAGATTTTTTTTTGAGAAGTATATTTTTGATAAGCACTCATATAGTGTAACTCAAAATCCCAGAGAAAGTAGGGGTAAGTGTGCATCTTACTGATCTACGGTACAATTAAGTTGACCCTTTTGCACTTAAATTTTAACACTTTGGTTAATTTTTTAACCTTTATTATATTTTATCAGATGTAACCATGGCATTAAATATAATCGTATTTTACGTAAAATGGATTGAATTATTTTTACCATTGAAAAAAATGCAGCAAATTAATTAAATTTTTGTGTGAGGTTTTTGCACTAAAAAGTAACATGTTTTAATTTTAAAACTAAATAAACAATAACACATTTTCTTATATTAAACGTTTTACGACTTAAGTGCTGATCAGCCACAAGTATTGAGTAGTTCAAAATAATGAAAGAAAAAAATTGGGATTGTGATGTTAATTTTGATATATTGGTCAAAATGTGTGATTTTCAGGCGAAAAATGGAGTAAATTTTATCATGACTTCCTTAACATATCTTCATATTTTGGCAAAGTTTGTTGAGAGAGTAAAACTTGTTCTAAAAATATGAAAAATATATTAAATATTCCTAGCAATATCACGGAAAAAATCCTCATCTTTTGAAAATGAGATGTTAGATTTAATAAATGTGCAGATTTGCAGAATTTTCTGCTAAATATCCTTCCACCACAAAAATAGTCCCTCCTAAATCTGGCTTCTTTGTAGATTTTTAGCAGTTATTTCGTTTAATGTTAAAAGAATTACATTGTTGAATTTTAATATGTCAATAAAAATTGAATTTTGATAAATAGTTTTGAAGTAAGAGGTTCTATTAGCTCTTGAGTGAACTTTTCTAAAAAGTTAAATTCATTCCTTAGAAACAGTAGATTGTTGAATAATCATGATGGTTTTATTTTCGCTATACTTGTGGTTTATCATTTTTTATGCGAAATTAAACCCACCGTGAATGCTATTATTAGTTTTTAAAACGTTTAAATGCTTATACAGGGTGTCCCAAAATATATGATACCATTTCATGATTATATAAAACACAATGTAATGAATTTTGAATAACAACCAACGCACCATAAACAATGCATATATTGTCCAATTTTATTCACACAATTTGGTGGTCATTGAAAGAAACACGACAAAATGAGTTCACTTTGAAAAATGCTATCAATCCCCCTACATGACGTCAAATCTGGGAAATGATCATGTCAAGATATTGCACAGAATTCCATAACTTAAAGACAACAGTGCGGTTTTCTTTGGTTATAATCTGGATTTCCATTGGAAATATATCTCTTTACAAATTAAAGATTTATATTTACGGTTAGTAATAATATCTTTAGACTGGGTTTGATAATGAGTTTTAAAATGAGGGTATACCCAGCTTGTTTGTCAAAGATTATCGTTAATCTATTTTGCTTGACATGCATTTTTAGCAATTTTTTGATGAAATTATGTGGCTAGATTATTACAACTAAGTGACAATTTTAACTGAAATCATTTGTTGTTAAAAATTGTATTTATTCAAATATTTAATGAGACAAAATTCAAAGAAACTGGTCAAGTCTTGCGTTTATGACAATAATTTAAAATGGTATTTTGAATGAATTTCTCACAACGTGAAATTTAACCATCGCAATTGGTTCTTTTTGAGATTTTAACACCTTGGAATAGTAACAAATGCTCCCTTCCTCAAAATTATCTATATTTCCATTGGCCCCACGGGCTGCCCAATTAATCTGAGATATTTTAAATATCTTTTTAATGTTATCGATCCCTGTAAAGTTAGTAGTATATGAATTTTACTTACTGTATTATTTATTGATAGTTTCTCTCAGTCATAAGTATTCAAAGAAAATGAACTGCATAAGCCTACAGAAGCCAGTATTTGCCAGGTAGAAAACATATTTTATTTTGTGGCCGCCAGATAATTTTCTTGTGGGCGCCTAATATTTATCTGGCAGCCGCCAAATAGTTTTCTGGTGACCGTCATATAATTAAATATGGGCGGTCATCAGACAAACTACATTTGTATTTTTTCTACCTGGCACCTACTGGATTCCGTACTTATCACTTGACTCGCGAGACTTTCCTACATTAACTAGTAATAACAAGTTTAAAGTCATTGTTTTGCAAATTCTCTTTTTAATACAAAAACAATAAAGGTCTAAAGTTGACTTGTCATGCAATCTAGATGAAGTTCAAGTAATTATTTTTACATTGAATACTCTACTGATTTTCCCTTTCGCCCAATTATGATAAATAGCTCACGACAGGTTGATCAATCGACAAAAGATGCTTACTCGTCCTTGCCACTTAATTCCAACTTTGATGATAATTAAAAGTGGTATGTTTTGTCTTTGCCCTCAAATTCATATTGTTTTAAATGGCCTTTTTAGGTGAATTAAGTGGAGTACCGTTCGTTATTCTCAAATATCACTCTGAAATATCAAGTCTTATGTCTTCAGATGTTCTCAAAATTGTCAATATTATTATATGCGTATTTTGTTCTGCTACTTTGTGATGCTAAATTCATATACTCAAGTAATGAAATATTGCTTCATAGCATGCGTGACTAGAAAGGCATATCGTGCCGTCATATGTTTCCGATAGTCATATGTTTCCGATAGTCTATTTTCGTCGCGCGAATTTTCCCTAAAATGACGTCATATTTCTAATTACTAAGGACACCTGACGTAAGGAATCTCGAAACATAAAACAAAAGCAAAGAATCAAAATTATGCTGCGTGCAAAGGTAAATATCATAAAAACAATGCAATCAGTGATAAAAATACTAATTTTTCTTATTGCCATAAGTTGTAGTTATCAAAATCGCCTGAAACCCTTTTGATTCGCACTGCACCTACAGACGCTCATCATCTGTTAAAATACACTTCCGGTGACGTATTCTGGTATTTGAATTAATCATGTGACTCTATTAGTTTTTCTATGTATGGAAGCTCTAAACCGTCATAAAATTAGCTGATTCGTGTGAATAACGTCATTTTTTGTAATATTTTAGGCAGTAACAAATAAAAGAAAACGATGTTATTCTCCCTCTGCACTTGTCAGGGCGTATCAGGCAGTGAAACAGGATGGAGTCCCTGTATATAGGGCAGCTAAGGAACATGCTGTTCCATTAACAACTCTTAGAGACCGTGTTGACAATAAGGTTGACATTGACTGTACTAAGACTGGTCCAGAACCACTTTTGTCTCAGTTTGAGGAGGCAAAACTTGTAAATCATTTGAAAGAATTAGCTTCTGTTAGTTATGGTTACACAATGGCAGAAGTACTCAGCATGGCAACAGATTATTCCATTCACCTTGGAAAGAAACACATTAAAGAAAAATCTTTAAGCATGCAGTGGTTTTACAGTTTTATGGGAAGATGGCCAGAATTAAGGGTTGTTAAACCATCAAGTTTGTCGGAATTAAGGGCCAAATGTGCGTCAGAAACTTCAATAAGATCATATTTCTGCAAACTCGAATCAATTCTTGACAAATACAACTTAAAGGACAAGCCCCACTTAATATATAACATCGATGAAAAGGGAATGAATACAGAGTTTAAGCCCCTAATATAGTGGCAGGAAAAGGATATCATCCTCAAGCAGTTATGTCAGAAAAGAGTAAAACAATTACTGTAATTGGTGCAGGGAATGCACTAGGAAATCAAATCCCACCATACTTTGTGTTTCCAGGTCAGCGGATGATGCCGGAACTTTTAAAAGGGGAATCTGTTGGTGCTGAAGGAACAATGACACCTAGTGGATGGTCAAATTCTGAAGTTTTTCGTTCATACATGAAAAACCACTTTCTAAAGTATGTTCAGGGTCGGGATCAATCTGACACTATACTTGCCCTTTATGACCGTCATAGAAGTCACATTTCATTAGATCTTATAGATTGGGCTAAGAACAATAACCTTATTCTTTTTGTTCTGCCCCCACACTGTTCCCATAGTCTACAACCAATGGATGTGGGTTGCTTTGGACCCTTTCAACTAAAATACAATCAGGAATATCTTTTTCCCGCTTAAACCACAAAACAGTTACCCGTTATGATGTTTGTTCCCTTGCTTGTAAAGCATACACTGCTGCCTTGTCCCCGACCAATATTCAGTCTGCATTTTCAAAATCTGGCATTTATCCTTTTCAATCAGCGGATAGCATGATAGAAAAACTAAAACAGAAAATTACTCCATCTATCCTCTATCAAAATGAAACAGGAGATAATCTAAATATGGAAACTGAAGAAAAAAATTCCACTGAAGAAAATGAGCTTGCAACATCTGCAAAACAGCTGAAACCTGCGAATTCAAGCACAACCGGCTGCAGAGAGAAACACACAGACTGCACTGGAGATAGTAATCTACCAAATGATGAAGATTTCTTTTTGAAGAAAGGGGGAGAAGTTCAATGTAAAATTGAAAATTTAAAAAAGAAGAGAAGAAATATAAGCCATGTGATTGGAGGTAAAGCAGTAACTGAGGACGAGACACTCGGAAAAATGAAGGAATATTTAAGCAAATCAGCTAAAACAACCAAAAAATCATCCAACAAATTAACTAATAAAACTACAAAAACTGTAAGAAAACCACCAAAAAATAAACAGGAACCGAAGAAGAACAAGAAATGCATTGCAACTTCCTCTCAACAACCTGGACCATCTTGCATCAATATTTCCGATTCAGATGATTATATCTTTAATTCAGATGAAGAACAAGAACATGAATCACAGATAAGTGACAATGAAAAATGTTGTGTATGTAAGAATTTTTATGTCAAGTCTAGAAATATATATGAAATTGCTATTGTGAAATGGGCTCAATGTGATTCCTGTGGACATTGGGTCCATCTGCAGTACTGTTCTCCCGTCCGTGTTGTAAGAAAAAACACACCATTTAATTGTCCTTGCTGTTCATAGATGGGTCTACAAAATATAACTGCAATTGAAAATAGTGAACTTAGAGGAAATGGTATATATAATCACTGAAACATTTATTTTCCAAGCACAGAGATTAATCTTGGATTAACTAAATATTATGAAATATTTAGAATTTCCTTTTTAATTAAGAAATTAAGACATGTATACATGAATAAATATATTAAATATATTTTTACAATAAAAAAGCTTTTTATTTTGATTATTGCCCCAGTTGTTCACCATACTTTAGCAAAGAAATATATCACGAATCAAACTATCGGAAACATTGACGCTCGTTTTTTTATACGCGTATCCGTTTTATTTACAGTCAGAAAATGCATATGGTGATGACTTAATGTCAATTTATTGCCGGTGATTTTTAATGCATTGCCTAATGTTAAAAACTAATAAGGTTTGAAAATCAATAAGAAAACTGGGAATTAACTCGGACTGCGATTGTTGTTAGACTATCGGAAACCCATGACGCATATAATTAGAAAATCAATAGTTTACCTTACTTATTCACTATGAAGAAAATTACTTTTTAGAAAATCAATAATGGGTAATACTATTAATTACACATTCAATGGTTATCTGATTGCGCACTATGGCTCATTCTTTTTCTTCTTGTCTATAGATAAGTTCTATTTAAATATCTTATAATTGCTGAAACGCGATCTGTTGGTTATAAATTAATGCAAACAATGCAATGTTACCATAAAATGCCTTAGAGAAAGTTTATAAAAACACTCATGGAAAATCTTCTGTGTAGAACGGTTCCTGATATTTTCAGGCAGCCAGTAGTGTGTTCATGCAGGTATGTTACAACAATCCGTAATAACATTTATGATATACTAGTATCCAATTATGTGTTTGTTTCTTACTTTTCTTTTTGTAATTTTTAAAAATCTATCATTCATTTAATAAGTTTGAAGATTTCACATTTAGATTTACCTGTAAAACTTTTGGCGCGATTTTCCTAGTTTACGCTTTTGTAAAATTTTCATGAGTGAGAAGAGTAATTGAGGATAGAGAGATCAAATATTCATTGAATACTTTTTACATTTTGAAATGGTCACCCGCTTGGAGCAGTGGTCAGAGCGTCTGCTCTAGAGGCCCTAAAGAAGCAGTTGATCCTTATATTGCGAGTTTGAATCCCACTGTGGGATGTAGAGTGCTTTTCTTCGGATGGAAACAAAGGTCTTGTAACGTAGTAGGGGCTGGCATGGGAAAGATCCCTACTGCCTTATGGCCCCGAGTGCCGACTTTAGGTTTTAAGTTGCAGAGAGAGCACTCCTCCTCTGAGTACTCTTACTCACTAAAATAAGTTCACAAAATGCAGAAATGTTTTCTGCAGTATAAAATGTAATTTTTTTTACTCATGTAAGTAATGAGTTACCGTTAATCCAAATATATATACAATTAATGTCTCTTTTGAAACAAATTTATATTTTTAAATAAGCCATTTCTATCAAATGGCCGGGTAAATAAATTCCAGAGAAACTTTCGTTGTCGTACCCGTCTTTTCCTTTTAGGAAAAACTCAGAGGGACAACTGTTCATTTTTCATAGGAATTCGTATTTTAAAGTGATTCTTAATGAGATATAATAAAACACTCGCTCATTTTTTCTAGTCAAAACTTGTTTTAGGCAACAAACTGTAATCGCTAGAGCACAAGCCCAGGATGTCATCCGATGTCAGTACTGTGAGGACGAAGCCGCTGTCTTCCAATGTGTCCCATGTGGAGATGAACTGTGTCCTCGATGTAAAGTACTCCATCTTAAAAGTAAAGTTCCATCGGGACACAACATCATCCGTCTGTCTGAAAGACTTCATCCAAGCAATCTGGTCAAAATGTGTGAAATCCACTCATCTAAAGTGTACGAAGCTTGTTGTGAAGATTGCCAAGTCCCCGTCTGCATTCTGTGCATTCAAAAAATGCATGGCAAACATTCTATCGGAAGGATACAGGATATTTTCGAGAAACAAAAAGCCGAAACCAAAGACGAATTGTCTAAAATAAACACACAATGGAAGCCAGAAATCACTCAAAAAATAGAAGATTTCAAAAAGTGGGAACAAGAAATAAAGACCAATCATAAAAATATTAGACAAAAGATGAGGAAACAAGCTAAGGATTTTATAGATAATATCAAAACCATTTTGAAAGAAGCTATCCGCGGATCTGAAGAAGATGAAAGAAAACAATTAGAGGAAATATATCGAAAGAGAGCAGAAACAGAGAAATTTAAACAAGACTTAGAAAAATTGAATGAGAAATTAAAAAATCTCACCCAATCAAGTCATCCTGCCGATCTTTTATCATACCAAAAACAAACTCAGGATGTATTTAAGGAATTAATGGTTCCAGACAAACTTAACATTGTTATGCCTACCTTTACAGCTGGTCAGTTAAACACTTCTCAAAATGAGCATCAATTTGGTACATTCACCACAGGCTGTGTTAACAATATAAAATCGCATGTTGATAGCTTACAACCTAAAAAGTCGCCTTGGACTGCACAAAGAAAGGTATCTGCAAAAAAGGTATTAGAACGTCCTGTAAAAATAAGCGAAAGGAAAATTAAAGACAGATTAATTCATATTTATTGTGTTGGTGACGAAACATCTTATATCATCGGTTTTGATTCTGGAATACAGCTGATAGACAAATCAGGGACACAACTGGATAGCACCAGCACTGAAAATCAAGCACACTCTCTGGCTTTGATGCGGGACGGAAGTCTTATTTATGCCGACTGCGACAATAACGTAATTTATAAAGTGTCGCTCAATAAAGAGGAAGAACTTATACACACTCAAGATAGACGTCCAGAAGGACTTTGTTGTACCAGGTCAGATGATATTGTGGTTGGTCTGAGTGATATAATTTCAGCAGTTGTGATCAAATACAACAGCAATGGAAAGAAAATGAAGAGGTTCAAACCGATTCAGAATGGGGAAAGAATTTTTACTAGACCACATTTTATCTGCGAAAATGTTAACGGTGATATCTGTATTTCCAATTCGGGCTACATGAACAATAGAGTGGTTGTCTTTAACAAGTCTGGAAATCTCCGGTTCAGATATGATGGAAATGTCCTGGCTAAATTGTTTAGAAATGACTTTGACCCCCACGGAGTGGCCACTGACAGTCTTGGTCATATCCTCGTTGCAGACTTGCAGAACAACGCCATACACCTGATCAGTAAGGATGGAGATTTTCTTTCGTACATCCTGACAAAAGGAAATGGGATATCAACACCGTACGGAATCTCTGTGGATACATCTGACAATTTGTGGATTATAGAATACAAAAACCCATGCATGAAAGTGTATCAGTTTTTGTCATAAACTTGAACCACTATTGTTTCTTCTGTGTTCTGCAAGTACATGTATGTGGGTTTCTTTTTTCAACAATGTTTACAGCATGATAAACCTTGCCTTTCATTATCAAAGGCATAAACTTTGTCCATGAATTTACCCGACAACCCTCGTACTTACAATCTAGTATTAAGTCGAAATTATCGGACATTTTTTATGTAAACTTTTGGTATAAATTATCTACGATTGCCGACCGCATTTTTGTCAATTATCATTGACTAATAGCAATTATAAACTAAGTGGTAATATTACATGTATATACATCTGTAAACATGTACAGTTTTTACACT